GCACTAGAAATGCACTTTTACAAGGTTACTCTATCATCTAAAGTGAATAATATTTCACAATCACTAGCGAGAAGAACAATTTTATGTATTGCTTATTTTCGAATTTCAGGGAACTTAATGCCAGTATTTGTCAATATTTATCACGATTGTTATTTGACGCTGTATCAATATGTCAGTGTATTCACCTGAACATCTAAAAACGAGAAGGGACTACTCTGGTTAGGTCGCCATAACGGTCGTCATTGTTTGTACGTTAGTTTTAATTATTTATGTCTATGTGAGGATTTCCTTGAATATTTTAATGGACGGCAAGTAAACGAAGACGTTTTTTACTTTAATCCGACACCAGTGTCAAAATGTAGTATCATTTTTCGTTAAATAACGCTCTGTTTTATTGTCTTCGATCTTGAACATTATCCCGACATTAATTTCTAGAAGGAATGCCAAAAAAATGTTGAGAGCTTTCCATGTATAAACATTTCAACATTTTCACAACAGACACCAATAGATAAAATCCCAAAAAGGTGAAGTACGGACCTTTATCACATAAATAAGATAGAATAGAAAGCTCTCGGTTAATTCTGCATAGACTATAGCAGAATTGATCATTTTATGATACATTATCGCTGCTCAAATGTATATATAACAGTAGATGGTTACCTTTGTTTGAAATGTGTACACTCTTTCGGAACCCAAAGGGGAGGGAAATTATATGAAGTTTTGGGGGAGTACCAATGTGTTTCTTTTTCGTTTATTTCATATACCTTCTTTTTTTTTTTTTCCTTTTACTCTCTCTTGATGTATGTAGCTACTGTTGAGGAATAAAACGTCATCTTAACATCAAAATTATCAGTTTTCATAATGTTGTACCTGTTGTAACATAGTAAAGGGAGGAACGCGGCCCTTCGCCCTTGGGTGTAAACGCCGCCACAGAAACATCATATCGCTGAGCCGGTCCTAATCCTGTTATCAATGCCCAAGTCACATTAGGACTGCTAATGACTACACCGCTTGTATTAAATGGATTTGGATAATAGGCGCTCCTCCTGAAGAAAACTCTATAGCCAAACAATCGGCCATTGTGAAACCTCTGAGGAAGAGGATTCCAAGTAACCTTGAACTGCGTTGCTGTTACTTCAGGGAAGGTTATATTGCTTGGAGCACGACCAGGAGCTAAAGAGAAATACAACATGAATAGCTGTTACACAGGGGGACATTTGCATTTTTTTAACATCTAATTAGAAGTTTTCTGCTGTTAGCACCCTGAAAATGCACGAAATAATAATAATTGTTAATAATAATAATAATAATAATAATAATAATAATCATATTAATAATAATAATAATAATAATAATAATAATATGATAAGAGCAATAATAATAGTACTAATAACAATAATAATGATAATAATAATGATAATGATAATAATAATAAAAGAACGCTTATTTTAGCCTGATCTCTGAACTTTTAATAAACTTTAAAATATGTAGGATTAATATCTCAGGCCGTGAAATTTTGGACCTGGGTCGAATAACGCATTTTGAGGCATTGTTCTCCTTAAAATGTCCAATACGCATGTCAGACTTCCACATCTTGTGGGATTGGGTCTCTTAAAAAGTGAATCCACGTTGTTTAAATATTCATCGTTTTTTTTCCATGTCACATTTCTTTCAATTTGTCAGATGTTGGTGAATTTTTCTGGAGCTATTTTCCGAAGGACTGTACTAGGTTAAAAAAAAAAAAAAAGAGAATTACGGAATCCTTTTCTTGTGTTAACGTCCTCCACTGACGTAAAATCAGGAAGTTACACGTCGTGGTCGTGCAACGACAGCATAGAAATGTACAATGATTCTTCGTACAAAGGCGATCAATTTTTAATGAGAGGATATAATATGTTCAGAAAGGATCGAAAGAAGGGTGGCGGGGGTCTAATGGCCTTTATTTCTACGAATATCGCATCTAGGAAAGTTACAGCACCAGCATATAAACATGTAGAAGTCTTGGCGATTGAAGTCAAGACCACCTGCAGTACAATTTTGCTAGTCGGAGTGTACAGACCACCGAAAGCGGCGGGTAACGATTATTTTTCTAAGCTTTAAGATGAACTCAGCTCATTATGCATGTGGGCTGAACTTCAAAAACAAACAGTGATTCTCATGGGAGATCTCAATCTCAATCGAATGGACACAAACAAAAGAAAAGAGTACAGGAAATCGATGTACCATACATGACATTAGAATGGAAAAATGCCATCAGAAGGAAAGGGAAATATGCCCAACTGTATGCAAAAAACAAAACCGCTGAAAATTACGAGCTCAAAAAAGGGACAGAAATTTAGCCACAAAGGAGCGCAGGAAGGCAATCAAAGAGTTTTGGATGAAGAAAACAGATGACTTAAAGCAAAAACCATGGGAATTTTTCAAGACATTACAGCGAAGAAGATCACAAAAATCACACTAGCATAAATGCCATAAGAAAGGAACAACTGGATATCGACTTTAAATTTCAGCCAATCACAGAGCATGATGTTGATGAGGAGCTTGCGCGTATAAGCACTAAAAAGTCTCCAGGATGGGACTCAGCTACACCACCAATAATATTTAAAGAAATCTCACACGCCATATCACCATCTCTGCAGTCTATATTTAATCAATGCGTTGAAGACTGTAGTTGGCCTACTAAATGGAAAATGGGTGAATGGACACCTGTGTTCAAGAAGGGAGAGAGACAATTAATCCAAAATTACCGTCCTATTACAGTCCTCCCACTAATTGGCAAGATATTTGAACATTTACTATGTAAACAGATAACGGCAAGCTACGATCATATCATGTACTCTGAAATGACAGCTTATAGAAAAAAACACAGCTGTGAGACTGCATTAATTAGCTTGGTGGAAGACTGGAGACTAGCCCTGGGTAACACACAGAAAGCAATTTTGTTATCGATGGACATGTCTAAGGCCTTTGACTCAGTTCTTCCCTCATTAACTGTGGCCAAACTTGGCGCTTACGGTTTTAATGACAAATCATTGCAATTAATGCGTTCATATTTTAAAGACCGGCTCAACAGGGTGAAAGTTGGCAAAGCTACTAGTGACTGGAATGTGATTAAACGTGGATGCCCTCAAGGATCCTCCTTTGGTCCAACACTGTGGAACTTGTACCAAAACGATCTATCGTATCACATAAATGAGATTGCAAATTTAAATATGTATGCTGATGACCATCAGATGTATATAGTTTGCAGCGATATGTCCATTATGTGTACTAATATGGAAAAGGAAGGAAACGCTGCACTTAAATGGTATAGGGACAACTATTTACTGTCCAACCCAGAAGAACTTAACGCCATAGGGATTAAACAACGTAATGGAACTGAACAGATTAACATCAAGATCGGTGATCAAGCGATTAAGACAACAGATAATATCAAGCTACTGGGTATGAACTTCGACGAGAATCTAGTTTTTAGCCAACATATTAGCGAATTATGGAAAAAGGCCAGTCAAAGGGTGGGCGTTCTCGCCAGGTTAAGAAACTTAATTACTACGGAGGCTAAACTATTACTTTATAAAACTGCTATCATGCCATATCTCACCTATTGTCATCTCACATGGCATTTCTGTAAGGCGTCGGATACAAGAAAGGTTGAAAGAATTCAAGAGCGGGCACTAAGGATAGTTTATAACTCACATTCAGAAACGTATATGAACTTATTAGATCGTGCTAAACTACCAAGCCTTCTTAATAGGAGATTACAAGACATAGTTATACTCATGTACAAGATTAAATGTGGGCTAGTTTCTGATTTCATTTGTGACATTTTCATTACTAAGTCTTGTAAATATAATTTTAGGAACCAAAATTTTGATATTCGTAGATTTAATTCTGTATTGTATGGTAAACACTCTTTTAGATATCTTGGACCCTTTTTATGGAACAAGCTACAATCTTGGACAAAACTGTTGAGAAAATTGTATACTTGGACAGCATTTTTCTAAACATCGTAGCTGTACCGGTTCTTCCCTCTCCCCCTTCCCCTAAAAGCAATGTTGTTGTGTATTCAAAAGAAAGCCTGATCCCTGGGGGTTCGTGGGAAGCAACGTTGAATTGGGGGAAGGGGTTTTCTTTCCGCAAAGGCGTCGTTTTGGAAATAGTTTTGTTGCGTAGGAAAGTGGACGTGATGGGGAAAACTTTCTCAAGTAGTTTTGTCCGGGATTGTAGATAAAAACATCACTGAAACGAGCAGCCTATCTAGATTTAAGTTTCATATTAGGTGTAGGGATCTTACTGAACTGATAAATGGCAACAATTGCTCCGCGTGCGTAATTTGTACCTCTTAAGTTGTGCCCGTGTTCCTAGAATTGTTTTGATTATTTTAGCATATTGTAAATGTATGAAACAATGAAACAGTCGAGGATATTATTCCGTGCAGCCCAAATATATACAGTGCCAGGGTAACTGAAGAAGATTATGAAACACTTGCAAGAGGAGCACTAAACAAAATGAAGAAAACATCCAACAAGAGGAAGCATCGAGGGGAAGACAGAAGAGAAGATAATGTGATGAAAACCATTACAGACAGTGATGAAGAATACGATAATCTCACAAGAAGATTATGGAATAATAGTTTTGAAGAAAAGAAGAGTGAAAGGAGCGACGAGGAAAGAATGAATCTTGGTTCAAAAGAGAAAAGCGACGGAGGACTTGACGGTGCTAACGAGGAGAACGTAGTCACTTGTAATCAGCCAGAATTTTTTGAAATTTCCGACAGCGACGAGTCTGGCTCGGATCCTGACTACGAATGCGAAGAAGAGATTAATTCAAGTGACTCCAGTCAATCGGACACATCCCTCGACTCCTCTTCTCTTCCTGTCGAATGCGAGTAACTATTAACCGAATTTGTCGAGATTATCGGGGAAAGTAATGTTGACGAAGGATCACTTTTGGATAAAGAATTAGATTGGCTCCAAGAAGTGAAGGAGTTTAAAGAAAACATGTTATCGCATGGTCACGTTTTTAAAACACCTGTCGAGTCAGCGCAGGAACTGGTACGATCGGCGGAAGAGTACGATAAATACGTACAGGAGGAACTGTGTTGTGTGATTGGAGGAGATCAAAGCGATAATGATGATGCGCTCGACACAGATTGGAACCCAAGCGATTGTGACATTGAGGAAGGAAGAGACGTAAAGACAGAGAACAACAATGTCCACGATGAGCTTACTGGACAACTGCTGATGGAGTTTCATGAATGGTTAATTGACGTGGATGGAGGGTACAGATCAGAAAAATTGGCGCAGCAGTACAAATCCCAGGTACGAAGTGTTGTTCGCCGTCTAGAACAGGAGGAAACGGCACCAAAAGAAGCCAAAAACTCAAAACCTTCAGTGTACCTGCTAGTGCGTCCGGAAAAAGAAGGGGTAAATCTCTTGAAAAAGTGGCTGTCATATGCTGTGGAAAAGTATCAGCCGGGAACTGTGAGATCTTATCTCATGAGTTTACGTCTGTTCTATAAATTCTTAACGCAAGAAAGAAAATCTGAGATGTCTGATGTGAGCGTGGATACCTTAAATGCACGCCGGGATCTCATGACTTCATGGTCAGCGGCCCAAAAGAAAAAAGGTTTTAAAGAGGAAACTCCAAAAATACGACGAGGAATTAAACAAGCTCATTTCAAGTGAACAGTTTTACAAGGTCTGCCATGGTGAACAACGCAAAAATGCCATTAAAAAGCTGGCCACTTCTTCACAACAAACGAATAAAGGCAGTGATATTCGAAGAATTGTCAACGACAAGACCCATTGTGAGGTGCGAGACTGGCTTATAGCTCGTCTACTGATCGATAATAGTGGAAGAAGCGGTGTTGCTTCAGGCATGAAAGTCAGCGAGTTTAAGGCTGCGGTGTTTTACCCGGGCACAGACGAAGACCTTGCTCGTTACAGAATCCTTGTAAGTGATCACAAAACCGCCGGTGTCTATGGCGCTGCAGTTGTTTGGGTGTACGATGACCTCTACAACCTGATGGACATGTACCTTAGAACTGTACGAAGCCAATGCGCTGCGACAGCTGCCAAGGAGGTTGAGCAGTTTCTTATTTCAAGTTATGGGATGTCACTGACGTCTTCACAAGTATCAACTTCCATATGGAAGGCTTTTCAGAGAGAGGGCATCTTTACGGAGGGGCGAATTTGTGCTACAACAATAAGAAAGTCGCTTGCAACCGGCATGCATGTACATATGCCACATGAGAAAGATCATCTCGCTGCCTTGGCTCAGCATAAGACGCAAACGCAAGCCAGGTATTACCGTGTGCATGACAAAGTTAGAGAAACTGATTTAGGTCGCAGAGCTGTTAACAAACTTGTTTCTCTTAAAACTGACAACATTCATGAGGCTCATTTGGACGGAAAGGAAGAAATCACAGGGAAACCATGGTCGGTGGAGGAGACGGAGCAGCTAAAGCGTTTATTTAGTGAAGACATTGAGACTGGAGCAATTGAAGAACCTAAAGTGACAGAAAAGTTGTTATTAGAAGACCTTCTCAAGGATCGTTCCATTAAGGCGGTAGTTTTAAAGCTCAGGAGGCTGAGAAAAGAGCACATGGAATCAGTTGAACCCCCTAATCAAGAAAAGGCAAGTCATGAGAAAGTGGCCAGATTTCTCAGCTCAGCAGCGCCACCTGCACCTCCACCCGAAGTGAATTCGACGGCATCTGTTTCCACTGAATCTTCCAGGTTCTGGAGAAAGTTCTCGGATGAGCAAGCGAGCTTTCTCTTCAGTATTACAAGAGATATGATCGAAAGTGATGCAATAAAGAGGGAAGTTGTCTGGCAGAGGGTGAAGGAGAATGAAAAGTCTTTGGAACTCGAGTTGATTACTGGGACGGAAAACGAGGAAGAGGAACGCAAAACAAAACAGCGGCTAACAGACAAAGTGAGAAAAATGGCAAAAGACTTTAAAGGAAGACGGTAAAATATGTAAACCTAAGTAAATCATCATATAGCATCCGGACTGTGCCAATTAACACAAACTACACCTTTTTTGCTATGTTGAACAACTGAGGTTTAATCAGATTTTTTAAAGTGTATCAAATTTCAAAGGTATCGTCATTTCTATTATTAAAGGTTTCGACTTCAGAGTAATACAAAGTGCGGATCGGACTTAATGGCCTTTGGAGATTAAGTACATAGGCTGAGCCTTACTCCGAATACGATATAAGATAACTAGGATAATATCCGAGTTACTGAGGATGGTCGTTCTCTATAACAATAGCTATAATATTTTCCTCGAAACAGAAACGACGTAACTAACCAAAGTATATTTCTTAAAGCAAATTCCCCCCTTTGTTGGAAAGAGGACGTTTGCTGTTTTAGTAGTCTAGTGGTTTTAGCTATCGGTTGTGTTTTTGCAGGCGTCCACGAGTTCTTCATATTCTTGCTATCTCGATCATGTTAAGGGATAGGAGAAGGGTGCTGGTCAGGATGGGTGTGTCTCGGGTCCAGTATGGACCTTGTTTTTCAAGAATTTCACATTTAAATGATACCTTTCTGGATATATTAAAAATTTATAATAACCTCGTTCAAGTTTTTTTCCCTTTGCTTTAGCGACGAAAGTTACGTTTCCTTTTTTCTGGATATTACACTTATTTATAGCAAATAGGTCGGATTAATGAAACCAATCCCAAAGTCATGACTTCTGCACACACTCAAGAGAGCAATTTTGGGCAAGCAACCTTCTCCAACCGAGGGTTCCGCGAAGTGATCATCTAAGGTGCACTTGTGTACTATTTTATTGCTGTTGTGCATTGGCACGGGCTATTACCTTGGTTACGTGTTTAGAATTCAAATTAGGAATCGTTTTTTCATTGTTTAACACATATTTTCCCCTTTGTTGGAAAAAAGAATTACTGAGCTTTTTTAGTGCTTCATTAGTAGTCTTATGGTTAAAGTTATCAAGTATCGTTTTGTAGCGCCTGGAGAAGGGTTCTATCAGGATGGGTGTGTGTCTCTAATCAAATATGGACCTTGTTTTACAAGACCTTTGCACTTAAATGACACTATTTTAATGCACGACAATTTTTTTTCAAAAATACCTCATTCAAGTTTTCAAGTTTTTTTCTTTGCTCTAGCTGTGAAAGTAATGGTGTTTTTTTTACTACTCCTCAATACGGTAAATAGATCGGATAAAGATGACCAATTATAAAACTATCCCAAAATCGTGAATTCATTACGTGGCACACACCCATTGAGGAATTTTGGGCTAGTAACTTTCTCCAACCTAGGCCTATGTTCAAAAGCTACTGGTTTGAATTGTTCCACTAAGATAACTTCTATACAAATATTGATATTGTGCATTGGCGCAAGCTAGTTACTTTTATAATATGTTGACAATTAAAATTAGGAATTGTTTGTTCATTGTTTTCGACAAGAAACTCTTGTAGGTTAAAAACCTTACAACTTTGTCTTGCCGATCGTTTTAAATGTTAAAATTAAATTTCGATATACAAATGGCTTGATTGCTCCGTTTCCCATTACACCTAGTCAAATTCATCAATATAAGTATGCTTCTCTCTATCCCACACAAATGACTAAACTACAGAGGAAAAAGAGTGGTTCACTCCAGTCGACCTGGCCTAATGGTAGGCCATGTTGAACTGGGACAGTTGACCTATCCCTTAACTGTAGGAAAGTTGTACTGTAACGGGAAAAAAACATCGGTATTTAGAGCGAGTAACGTTAGCAATCAAATGATGAGTAAAAAAAAAAGAAGATGAATGTTTGAATAACAATTTACGCACATTGTTTTAGGTAGCATTGAGGAAGGTTCAGAAACGTTTTTTGTTAAGGAGCACTAATCTGATCATCGCGAGTTCTACATTATTTAGTCCCCGTGTTTGAACTCTGGACATTCACACAACACTCGGTAGTTGCGTCCCACCTCTGCGAGCTTCTTCAGAAATTGAGTTCTTTCGCCTTCTTGAGCTGGTTGGCTCAAGTTATTTCATCGGCCAGACATCTTAGATCGCGGTGTGCTTATGCTGCTTTATGTTTTCTTGGCATAATTACGACGCAAGCACAAGCGCAAGTCTCAACCATAATACAAGGAACAAAGTTTTATTACTGTACTTGTGTGCTTGCGCTTACATCGCTAATGTAAACAACGCCTTAGCTAAATAGCGAGGGCCGTATTTGAGACGAGATAGACTTTTATGCATTATAAGGCCTTGTTGTTACTTGTGACGCAAGCACAAGAGCGTTCATAAGATCTCTTATTTCACCGCGAAAGCAAATCGAAACAAAAAGAAGCGTAAGCACAAGCGCAAGAAGAAAAATTATGTTTTTCTTGTTAAGACACGCAAATGCAAGTGCAAGCTCAAGGTTTCAGTGTCAAGTGGAAATCAACGTCGACGCAAGCACAAGCTCAATTGAGATGCAATTTTTACCCCATTGAAGTTGGCGCAAGTGATTTGGTCACAACCTCGACTCGTACCCAGGGTCTCTATCCTTATCCTCCGACGACAACGGAGGGAAGGGAGAGAAACGCTGGGTACGAGGTTGGTTTGGCCAGACATTAGATCAACATGTGCTTGTGCTACTTTCTGTTTCCATGTGCATTATTTCGATGCAAGCACGGGCGCAGGTATAAAGAGAAAGAAAAAAAATTGCTTTTACTTGCACTTATGTGTCGTGCTTGTGTCGCTAGTGAAATCAAGGCTTTTCTGTTAGTACCCATGCCCGGCCTGCGCTTTAAGAAGTTAGTGCTTTTTGTTGCACTTGCGCTTTTGCTTGCGTGGCTAGTAAAACTAGGCTTTTTACGCGTCTTTAAGACCTATTTTATTTCCGTTTACGTGAAAAAGAAAAAGTGACTGTAAGTATAATTATGAACCGGAAAAAAAAAAAAAACAGTAAACATTTCTTTTGCCCCATCAATATAATTATTGCTATAATTATTAACCACCAATTAAGTATTGAAAGACGTTTTCTTGAATTCACAGTCATTTATCTTTTCTTTTTTTTTTTAACTCGGCGCCCACGTTGTCCCTGGAGATATAAAAAATCTTCCTTTTACACCCTTTGCTCTCTCTCAAGTTGCTGACTGCGAGGCCACGTGCGCTGTCAGTAGGGTTACTCTTTAGTGATATGTACGCGCGTAAAAAGTAGCCTCTGCCTCCGTCCATTCCCGTGCAAAAAATGTGTACAACAGAAACAATTATAATAATTAGTTTTTAACGAGTTCTCTCAAAGTTTGGATATTGTCCCAGCTTTGTTTTCTTCTACAGCACAGTGTTCATTTTTTCTGCTGTCATGTGTTACCATCGCTGAGCGCGTCATTAAAGCAACACAAGGCTTGGGCAGTTTTGGTCGGATTTATCACACGACCGAAAACGATGTTTTATATTAAGAAGTAAAATGTTAAACTCTTGTGATTTTAGTCATGGAGCAAATTGTATAGTAAAAAGTTCAAATTATTTTTATCTGACAGGGTGTTTAATTGTGGTACTGCCAAATGCGTTCGCTTCAGAATGACGAACTGATGCTGCGCATGCTGGCAGAAAAGGCGCCATTTGCTCAATAATGAAAGTTTGGATGGCAATCCTCAGATTTCTTTTTGTAAGCAGGTGAATTTTGCAAAAAGTAACCTCTACTGTCTCCGTACGACTAATCCATGTCCATAAAAATTGCATAGTAAAATAAAAATGAATAATAAAGAATAAAAATGTCAATGACAACATGTGCAATAAACGTATGAGATAAACAAAAGGAAACCACAGCTATGGTAAATATCCTTTGTGATCGATGTTTTGTCTGAAATATGTTTTTCGCAATGAAAATTTCGTTTTCCTCAACGATGGGAAAATGGGTATTTGCGACCCAAAATGGGTATTTGCTGCGAAGTAAAGTTTAGCTGGTAAATGCTTAAAATATTAAAAAAAGCAGCTATCAACAGGTAAAATGTACGTAAACCATTATGCGAAGCAAGTTGCAAACAACAATCCATGGAAAATTCCCCCCCAAAGAGAATTTTTAACTAAAAACTATTGCGGGCACTTTGAAAAAATCGTCATGTTTCAAGTCTTGTTGAAGATGTAGCTTACAACGGGAAAGATTCGTAAATTAATGGTCTGGTAAAAATGAAAATATTATGAATTCCAGCGGTCTTTAGTAGCAGTTTTCCTTTTTTCGAGGACCTTTCGAACCGCTAGTTTTTTTCGAATTTTTAAAAAAATTTCGTATCTTGTACCTAAAATTGAGTTATTGCTACGTTGACGAGGTTTGATTGAAAATAGTACGCGCCCAAATTTTAGGGCTGTGTCAGAAAATTTAAAAAGTTAGAAAATGATTCATAAACTTTACTCTCCATGTTTTTAATTCAAACTTTTTTCGAATTTACCGTTTGAAAATAGCAGAGCGAGAACATGTAGAAAATACGCAGTCGACAATCTAAAGAGAGAGAGAGAGCGATTGAATAGGTGTCAAGGCAGAAGCTACAACTAAGCGAGGCGGAGCTAACAACAATGCCTCAAAATACGTCTTCGTTTCACTAGACCCAGGGGACTATTATATCTACCTGGCCTTCTGGCTCAAGTAGACAAATTTCGCACTCTTTAATCGAGCATAGAGTTCGCTAGTTTTATCAGATTCACGCAAATTGTACCTCGTTTTAAAGCTGAGAGCGCCCAGAATTCCTCCAAATTTTATCACTTTTGGAGTGTTATGTAATTTAAAAGACCTTAATTAACATTTCCCACAAAATATTGATGTCCAAGATTAATTGGCCATTTTCGAGTTCCGAAAACTCTCACTATCAAAACGAGGCTTAGTGCAAAATCTTTGTTACGAGAATGAGTTTTATTTTAAATAAAATTAAAAAAATCGTTTTATTTCAATGGATTCGCCCTTGGCCACGCTTTGAAACAGAAGCATAAGGCAACTCGTGCAAGGCCTTTTGTAAATGGATTATAACTAGAAACT